GCAGCAAGTTGGCCTCCACCTCAGAGCTCATTTGGAAAGCCAGGTATGAACTGGCGGTGAGGGGGCAACTGCAGCCTCATGGGAAGAGGGCGTGGTACCAGCTTGTACTTCACACCCTACTGAGGTCACAAGTTGCCCCCCATGAGCAGCTCTCCGGCACGGCCATGGCTTCATAGGCACAGAAACAAATCTCGTAATTGTCTGACTCTTGGCAGAAATCCCTCCAGACTTAATTAGTAAAATATCAGAAATCGAAATCACACGGCCACAATAGTGGCCGCGCAACATCATATGGTTCTCATAACCAGCTATAGAAAACAAATCATTTCACAATGCTTTTTCAGAAGTTCTGATTGTTGGGTGGAAACTCTAAACAATAATGGCGCATCTTTTGTCGAAATAATGAATATAAACAAAATAGATAGAGAGTTAAGTAGAAATCATCTGCCTCACAGGCATTGGGAGGGACAGGAGGATGGTATATTGGGGTTGTTGGTGGTGAAAAATGAGTACTGGTGAAGGGAAAGGTGTTTGACCATTGTTTGACCGAGACTTAAACCTGAAAGCTTTGTAACTTTTCCCACAGTGATTCAATAACTAAATATAACAAAATAAAAAACTTCAAATATGTAAAACATACGAAGATATTATTTTCACTATTGTATTGCAGTCACAAAGAATTTCTGAAGAAATTTTCATATGTTCTGTGTAGAGCTTGAAAACTGATTACAGGAGTACCCATTAATTAATACTTAGGACCTTCTTAGTGTGAAGGACATGAGGGGGAAAAAAAAACTGCCCTTGACATTAAGGAACTGGTTCTCCACTCAGAGGCAGATGTTAGCCAGGAGTTTGAAGCTAACCCGATATTCATAGTTAGGCCAGGTTGCTCTCCTGGTGATTACAAATAGAATCACAGAACACCAGTATTTCATATAAGGTCATCATGTGACTGTGAGGATGAGAGACAACTCCAGATCACTTTTAATCTTTATTAATTAATTAAATACTTAAAAGGTACATCTTTTTATATAATACTAAAAAAAGCAGGATACACTTATGTATGCACTATAATTGCACTCACTATAGCACTGTAACACTGTCCTCCCGTTGTTCATTGATTTTCTTGAGTGGGCACCAGTAACGTCTCCATTGTGAGACTTGTTGTTACTATTTTTGGCATATTGAATACATCAGGGGAACTTTCCAGGCTCTTCTGTGCAGGTGGGATACTCCTATAATTGCACATTTGCAAAAATATGCTTATGAAGAAAAAGGGAGGAAATGTACCAATATATACCAGGAATTGAACAGGAGGTAGTAGTTTATAGGTATTTTCTCAATTTTCAAAATTTCTTTAAAAAGTCTGTATCATAACAACCTTTAAAACTTTTAAAGAATGTTTTTTTCTGTTTCTGAATTTATTTTTTTGCTTTCTTTCCTTCTTTTTTTTTTTAATTGAATCACCTTGAGCTACATTTACAAAGTCACAGTCACCGTCCTCCTGTTGTTCATCGATTTGCTTGAGCGGGCCCAGTAACGTCTCCATAGTGAGACTTATTGTTACTGTGTTTGGCATACTGAATACATCACGGGTAGCTTGCCAGGCTCTGCTGACATTTACAAAACTTTCGTGTTTTAGTTTCAGTCATTCAATGATCAAACATCCATCCCTCCACCAGTGTACATTTTCCTACACCAATGTTCACAGTATACTCCCCCGCCCCCACCCTGTCCTACTCCTCCCCCTGCCACTTTTGATCTTTCAAAAAGCACAGGTCACAAAGTCAGTGTTCAAATCATTAAACACTAACATTTGTCTCTCTTGAGCACTCTGAATGACTGCTGCTTGGCTAGTTAGAAATTTTAACTTCACTCTAGTTGGTTACTATTTTAATAATCTTGTTTTTTTTTTTTTTTTGCTTTTGCTTTTGGGTCACACCCGGCATTGCACAGGGATTACTTCTGGCTCATGCACTCAGGAATCACTCCTGGCGGTGCTCGGGGGACCATATGGGATGCTGGGAATCGAACCTGGGTCGGCCTGCGTGCAAGGCAAACGCCCTACCCGCTGTGCTATTGCTCCAGCCCCACTATTCTAATAATCTTGAAGATGCTCAATTATTGAGTTTTTCTGACTCTTCTTTTCTTTATTTGATTCTTCTAAACAGTACTCAGAAAACATGGCGATTTTTGGACAAACAGGCCATTGGTTCAATGCAAGGGCTTAAGATGCCATGCTGCTCAGACTCTGTATTGTAGGGAGACATCAGATCACCCCACTAGTCCTCAGGGTGCCCTCCAGAACCACACTCAGCAATGCTCCTGGTATGCTGTGATGCCAGGAATTGAACCTGATTGGTGCCTTATTATACTATCTCCTCATCCCTTATTTTCAGTTCCTTACAGTTCACTATCCCCCCAAATCCAGAGAAACCCTCCCCACTCTGTTCCTGAGGGGCCGTCTCCAAATCATCCAGCCAAAGTCCAAGTCTGTCAAAAGCTTTCTAACGCTCTCTTACTAATAAATCTCCTAGATCTTATAATACATGTCTCACTCCTATGAGAAATAAACTTCACTGCATGTCTTTGGCGCAAGAGGCTTTGATAGACATTTCTGAAAGCTTTGTACAAGCCTTGTCATTGAAGCCTGACAAACACCCACTTGATAGGTATTATTATCACCTCCCTTTTTGCAGATGAAGAAACCAAAAAAAAAAAAAAGGAAAAAAATCAGACACCTCCAGTATGCCCTTACCCCAAATAACTGGAATGAAATTTGCATCTGGGGCTAATAGTCTTCAGGGTTTGAGAAAGCATTTGCAGGTCTCCTGATCTTTCTATTGTCCAGTATTCTGCCTCTGAAAGATTACTGCTGTTTGAAGATAAACTTCTGTCTGGTATAGGGAAAGCAAGTAAGTAAGCATTAAAAAAAAATGGCTGAGCATAAACTCTCTCAGAACTATTTCTGAGCAAAGCTTTCCACACTTCTTAGAGCTATTTCCTGTTCTGGTTTAGTTCTGCATGTTGCTCATTTGTAGCACCTGGTGGGGCTGGAGAAACAATTTGGTGTATGGAGATGCCACCCCTGCCTCCTGCATGCAGAGCATATGCTCAGTGATTGTTCCCAAAAGATGATTTTTAAAGGGCTGCCACACTAAGGTATACAAAAACTGCTGGATCTTTGTAGCTTGACCCTGGGAACACACAAAAAACTCTTGCATGGCCCTAGGCCAAGGCCCTGCGTCACATGTGTTTTGAAGTTTTTCATCTCTGTGTTCTTGATCGCTCTTTGCCATATCCCTTCCAAGAACATCCTGCTATGTTATTTTTCCACCCAATGAAATACTTTCTTCCCCTGCAACTTTCCTTTTCAGATCCTCTTCTGCAAATTATCTCCCTCCCTTATTCTCAGCTAACGTTATTTTTTTTTATTGAATCACTATGATAGTTACAAAGCTTTCATGATTGAGTTTCAGTCATACAATGATCAAACACCCATACTTCCAACAGCATGCATTTTCCACCACCAATGTCCTCACAATCACTCCCACCACCCCCACCCCACTCTCTCAGCTAACTTTATTTATTTTTTTCTGGAAAAAAGTATTTTTATTTTATTTATTTATTTATTTATTTTTTAATTAAACACCACGAGGTACAGTTATAGACTTACAAATTTTTGTGCTTGGATTTCTGTTATACAATGATCAAGTACCCATCCCTCCACCAGCGCCCATCCTCCACCACCATGGGTCCCAGCATCCCTCCCACCCCCCATTCCCCCATCCCACCCTGCCTCTGTGGCAGGTCATTCCCTTTTGTTCTCTCTCTCTCTCCTTTTGGGTTCTGTGGTTTGCAAGAGAGGTATTAAGTGGCAATCATGTTTGGTCTATAGTCTACTTTCAGCATCCTTCTCCCATCCTGGGAGGACCCTCTCAACACCCTTTATTTGGTGATCCCTTCTCTATCTGAGCTTCCTTTTCCCCTAGCACGTGTGGCTGGCCTCCAAGTCATGGAGCAAAATTCCTGGTTCTCAGCTAACTTTAAATGTAAGTGCTATGTGATAACATTTATACTACTTTGCTATTTGTATAAACACCTGTTATGCTATGACTTTTACACCAATTTGTCTAAAGGAGTGCAAACCCCACTAAACTGTGAGTCCCTTAAAGGTAAAACCAAGGTCTAGTTTGGGTGGACCTCTCTGCTACTCCAGCAGGGGAGCTCAGTGGTTCTATCTAGGGAAAACATTCCCTGGGAATTGCAGGTGACTGCAATAATACTCTCCAGCCTCCAAACCCTTTTGAAGAATAGATCCTAAATTTATTTTTAAATTTAATTTTTTTATGGAATCACCGTGAGATACAGTTACAAAGCTTTCATGTTTGAGTTTCAGTCACACAGTGGTCGAACATCCATGAGCTGGGGAGAAGGCAGCTAGGATAGGATCCTAAAAGTACTTCTCCAAGTGCACTGTGCACGCTGGGCTCCAGAGGCAGGCAGAGGATAAGCCAGTGAATTCACATTCCAGCCCCTGTTCAACTGATGGAGCAGAGTGGATTCTCCAGCCTTCCACGCTGGCAGGGAATGAGTTAACCAAACTCCAAAACACCCCGCCAGGTGACTCGCATCTAGGTGACTCGCATCCCCGCGTTTCTGCAAGAGAGCTCCGGATTGCGCCCTTAAAGGGGAGCGGTCTGCACCGCGGGAAGGTGGGGCGGAGAAAAGGGCGGACGGCACAGCCAATCACATTTCTGCCCTGACCGGAAGAGGCGGCTCCTGGGTGTGTCCGATTCCCAGGCGGCTCCGGATTGGCGGCTTCCGAGCGCTCGGCGGTGGCGGGAGTTTTCGGATGTGCTGGCTCCTTCCCTGGTCGCAGCGGTTGGGCCGAGACCGGTGAGCGGAACCGGGAAGGGGCGTCCACGGCGGCATCTCGGAGCACCCCGCGTGTGAGCTGCAGAGCAAGACCCTTCTTTCTGCTCCGGGGAGCGGCGACGATGGATCGGCACCGGCCGCGGCTGCACCCCGCCACCCCGGGCGCCTCTGCCGGGGTCCCCCAGCCCTCCTCGGTCTCGCTCCGCAGCTGCCGGCAGAGCAAGACGCAGCGCCGGAAGGGCCCCCCGTACCCGCCGCCCCCCGGAGGCCCGGAGGAACCTGGGGAGAAGCGCCCGAAATTTGTAAGTTTTGCTTGGAACCTGGCTGAGGCTCCTCCCGCCCTGCAGCTGTGCTCAGCTTCCCCACCCTGATCTTTCCTTTTTATTAACTAACTCGGACTTGAGTGACAGCAGAGGGTGGGTCCACCCTTAGGAGGGCTGAATTTTGTTTGAGATGATCGCCACTCGCTTCATAGATTTTAGGAAGGCTTAAGCCTTGGAAAGACCCCGAATTTGTGTTTGTGTTGCCCCCAGTTTTAAGACTTGGTGCGCCCAGATGTCAATGTGTTGACGTCATGTAGGTGGCTATTGCTTTTTTTTTTTTTTTTTTTTTTTTTTAAATTGAACTTCTACTCCCTATCCTGAATTGTTAGGGTCACAAGACAAAGAATTTTTTTAGCTGCTGGGGTTTCTTTTCCTGTTTACTATGTCAATCGAAGAGAAACTTAAAAAAAAAATGGATACACTTTTCAAAGTCAAACTCGGTTTAAAATTTGGCGGGGCCTGAGATCACTGCTAAGAAATGTTTCATTTGGACTGGAAAGAAGTCTGAGTGTTTGGAGCTTGCTATTCTGCATGTTTCTCATTCCTCTTCACATCCAAGGGAAGTGTTACGAAATAGCTTCCTATAATTTTTTTTTATTCTTTTTGGTTTTTGGTCCACACCCAGAAGTGCTCAGGGCTTGCTCCTGGCTCAGCTCTCAGGGATTACTCTTGGCAGCCTGGGGGTAGGGGAGACCATCTGGGGTACCCGGGATTAAACCCTGATCTACAGCGTGCCAGGCAAACGCCCAACTTGTTGTAGTATCGCAATTTTTACACTTCTCTAGTTTTAAAAGTTGGCATTAATTATTTGATGTAAGGATGGGTAGTGATGCGGTCTGAATGATAGCACAGAAGCGTTTATAGAGCGTTTGACTGGCACACAGCTGACCTGGATTCCACCTTCCCTGCTTTCAATGACACCCCGCCCCCTTCCTCCCCCTCCCCCCCCAGCTTTGCCAGGTGTGGCCCCCAAGCAAAAACAAAAACAGAACAGCAAAAAGAATGGGCAATGATTGGTGTGCGTGTAAATAAAAAAAAAAAAAAACAAAAATAGGGTTGACAAGTTTTGGGTGAGTCCCACACATTGAAAATTTAATATTTTTTTTTTGTTTTTGTTTTTGGGCCATTCTGGCAGGTGCTTTGCTGGTTTTGCTCCTGTGGTACTGTAATCTAAGTTGGACCTACTTCATGCAAAGCAAAGTACAGGAGCCCTTTATCAAACTCCTTGGCCTGGGAAATTATTTTTTTAGTTATATGTCAGATTTTATATTCCAACATGCTGCTTCCGTGAACAATAAACATTAAGAGTTTATAAATTAAGAGATATGCATTAAGGGAATAAAAACTTGATGAATAGTAAGTTGTAAATATAAGATAAAATTATAGTTGACTTTCACAATGATTCATTAATAAAATCTTATAAAAATGAAAGTTGAATGAAATTGAGAGCAAAGTTGACGATGAGGGATAGCATGGATTATGCTAAATCAAGTATCTGCTCATGAGTGCGAGGAGGATCAGATGTGTATTTTTTATTTTATTTTTTTGTTTTTTTGCTTTTTGGGTCACACCTGGCGATGCACAGGGGTCACTCCTGGCTCTGAACTCAGGAGTTACTCCTGGCGGTGCTCAAGGGACCATATGGGATGCTGGGAATTGAACCCAGGTTGGCTGCGTGCAAAGCCAACGCCCTACCCGCTGTGCTATCTCTCCAGTCCCAAGATGTGTATTTTTTAAATGTTTCTTTGTAGAACTGAAAAACAATCAGAATAGTGCTAACTTGGAAATGAAGGATTCTATTTAACATGAAAAATTTCATTAAGGCAGTTGCTCTTTTTGTTTGTACAATCTACTTTTGGTTGGGCCAGAAGGATTGTACATTGGGTAGGGCTTTCATCTTGCATTTCAGCTGCCAGGAGTGATCTTTGAGTACAGTGGGGGTAAGCATTAAGCATCATGTGTGTGGCTCAAAAACCAAGCAAACAAAGTAGAAAGGAAAAAAAAAATAAACAATCTACTTTTAGGTTAATCATGTAAATTCGTTTTGTTTCATAATTTGTAAATTTCATAACTTAGAAGGAACTTGGAACCCCTGTAATATCTGAAAATAATTTATGTTGCTTACATTGTAGTTTGTTTCCTTCCTTCCTTCCTTCCTTCCTTCCTTCCTTCCTTCCTTCCTTCCTTCCTGTGGTGGTGGTGCAAGGGACTTGGTGTTCTGGAGCAGTGCTGAGGATCTAACTCAAAGCCTCACACCTATAAGGGATGTGATCAGCCATTGAGCCATATCCCTGACTCCACTGGTACTTAATACCTAACTCTCCCTTTTTTAAGAAACATAATACACCCTGGTGGCCATCATATTCTGAGTGAGAGTGGTGCACTTGGCTTCTGGAGAAGTCTCTTTCTAGGATGTGGGCCAATTTTTTTTTAAAAGACTAAACTTCGTACAACTTTTTTTTTTTTAACGTAGGAGTACTGCTATTTATTCAACCACTGATTACCTGATTGAATTGTGCATGAACTCCACCTTACTTTTTTTTTTCCATTTTTTATAATTTTATTTATTGAATCACTGTGAGAGCAGTTACAAAGCTTTCGGGTCTAAGTCTTGGTCATACAATGAAACACCTGCACCTTCACCAGTGCCCATTTTCCACCCCATCAACCCCAATATAGCCCCATCCCACACCCTCTCCTACCTGTGGGGCAGATGATTTCCACATTACTCTCTTTCTACTTTGATCACATTCAATATTTTGACACCAGACCTACCATTATTATTTGAGATTTTACCCCAATACTGCTGAAAAGGCAACAGTAGACAATCTGTTTTCTATTGCTGGTTATGAATAACATATGATGTCCCGTGGCTGCAGTAGTGGCCGTGTGATTTTGAAATTCCGAAATTTTTACACTTAAATCTGGAGGGATTTCTGCCAAAAACTGCTGTGTTCCGAGATTTGCTCCTGAGTCTCTGGGATCATGGCCGTTAAGCAGCTTGATCAGGAGCCAGAGAGGCATTCGTGGGCTATGAATTGGGGTCTCGTTGGGGTGGGGAGGATAGGACCGGTTCCACCCCCATCCTGTGAGGCTCAACATGTTTTGTCACTGCGTGCCCAAGCCTGACTGTCCAATGGTCTCTGGAGGATGGCGGCCACCCAGCCACCAAGTGGGGGCAGGCAAAGGGACAGCACCCTTTCCCCCTGGGGTGGCCCGGCGATAGTAACCTACTGCGGGGTCTGGTTACACTTCTGCGAAAAGCCACTGGGTTTTGAGATTTGTTTCTGAGTCTCTGGGATCATGGCCATTAAGCAGTTCAATCAGGAATCAGAGAGGTCATGCCTCCAATTATATAGCTGAGCCGGAGGTGGTTTGTGGGTGTGTTTCCTACATACTTAACTTTTGGCCGCTTACTTTCTTGGTAAACTATGCCCCAAGGTTTTGGGGTCTGGCCAAAGGCACAGCAGCAATTTTGGGGTATCTGGAAGTCTGAAGGCTCCATCAGGCTGCTGATGCACTCGCCTCACAGGTACAGATTGACCTGCTGGCGGCACCATACCCCCGTTCATACAACTTTTATTTGTACTTAAAACTTTTATTTGTATTTAATTTTATAACTAGTGTATTCTCAGGCTGTGAGTTTTTGTGGCTACTTCTCTTTCCTTCTTCTTTTCCTTTAGTGTAATGTCCTTTTCAGGTTTAGGAATAATGTGCTATTTTTCAGTAAGGACCATCTCCACATGGCAGGGAGAATTCATGTCGGGTGAATCCAAATCCCTGTAACTTCTACGGTGCATCTTGGGGGTTTAGTCTTCCTGGATATGCTCAAGTACCAGAGAATTGACAATAAATTTGGAATTATTTTCTGAAAATTTGAGCTGATTTAGTAAAAAACTTAGTACTCTTTTTGAACCACTTACCCTGCATCCAGCCCCACTTTTGGCCGGGGAATGCCTACTAGGGCCACTGTTACTTTGACCAAATGGCAGGCTTCTGGAGAGTGACAATCTTCAGATTCTTGGTGACTTTTCAAATAGGTTCCTGCTAATGTCCTGCACAGTTTATCCACTGTACTTAATTGATCTTGAAGATTTGAATCTCTTGATTTGTATGATGTTGTAGAATTTTTCTGGCTCACGCAAATCGTGTGCCATTTTGAGCTGCTCGTGGGAGAGGAAGAGTGATCGCTATTGGGAGAATTCTTGAGAACTGGACCAGACCAGCTTTTTGATGCTCACTGGTAAACTCAGTGATCCAAGCTGACAGTCGCTCTTCATTTTAGTTAGGGGTAGCTTGTAAAAATTCTTGTGGACTTTAATGTAAATTGCGCAACTAATCTTATGACTTTCATAGAATAGATTATTGATTTTTATTTAAGTATGTCATTTTAGTGCCCGCAATTTTGGCATTGAGAGATTTTTCATTTTGTTCAATAATATCTGTCTACTGTATTCTGGCATTGTTAATAATAGCAATTGACCTTCATGAGCCAGTCAAGCATGGTTTTAAGTGTTCAATAAATGTTAACTCCTTTAATTCTTATAGGAAGGCTTTCAAGGGGATGTACCATTGTAATCACTTGCCTTGCTTATGTGAAGCCCTGTCCTGTCCCTAGCAGGTGCCTTTCTTTTTCCATACAAAAAGCTATAAGATAGACAGAATTGATTAACTAGTAAAACTAGTTAAGCAATCAATTAACTAGTATTAACTAGTATTGATTGCTAGGAAAATTAGCACTGTCCTCCCGTTGTTCATTGATATGCTTGAGTGTGCCCAGTAACATATCCATCGTGAGACTTGTTATTACTGTGTTTGGCATATCCAATTCGTCATAGGTAGTTTACCATGCAGGCGAGATACTCTCGGTAGCTTGCCGGGCTCTCCAAGAGGGGCAGAGGAATTGAACCAGGGTCAGCCAGGTCGGCTGCATGCAAGGCAAATGCCCTATCCGCTGTGCTATCACTCTAGCAAGATAC